CATTAAAATAGTTCAGTAGACTTTTTTTTTTTTTTTACTTTAAGCAATGCTTACTGGACTAACTTCAGGATAATTTCACTCCCAAACTTACTGAAGTGCATCGTATTATGCTGGAGTAATAAACATGAGCTAAGTATAGCACCATACACAATGTTGGGAAGACTTTTCAGGACTGACAAAATTACCCATTAAAATTTCAATCCTGAAATTGGTTCAGTTCAATTCCACTTGCACAGATATATTGGCAAGATAAAACTTAGACTCTTTAGATTAAATTCATGGATCTTTGCTGAATATGGATCTTTATTACCTCCCCTTATTTCCTTGTCTCCAAATCACCACTCAAGGAAAAAGTTGCAAAGATAGCCTTGGCCAGTCCCCATGTATTTCACCTGAGTCACAGTCTCCACTTTGTTGACAATTCTTGGGCAGGAAGATATGAGGCAGCTGTCCCGTTGGAGGAGGTTGCTGCCAATTTCCTCCAGCTGTTGTAGATACTGGAGCACAGGACTGATTTCCTCTGACTGCTGGCATGCAGCATCAACCTCTGCCTCAGACTGTGGTGGTGGTTGGTACAAGGCAGTAAACTCTTCGGGATGTTGTAGGTATCGGAGCACAGGGCTAATCTCCTCAGGCTCATGTACATACTGGAGGAAGGGGCTAGCCATCTCTGGCTTCTGTTGGTACTCAAGGGAGGGACTAATTTCCTCAAGCCCCCTCTGACCCTGAAACAAGCCACTGGTCTTTTTAGGCTGGTACAGATGCCTGGCCAGGTTCACAAAACCTCTGGCTGGGAAAAGCACAATTATGATTATAAATGAGCTATATACATGCCAGGCATGTCCCAGGGTTGCCAACCAGATGTGGCCCCAAATCAGTTGCCAGAGGTGGCCAAGGAGAGCCCCACATGCCTGCCACATGTGGCCTGGACTGGCAGCAAGAGCACAGCAAGGCTCACTGCAGTGACTTGGGCCTAAAAACCAAGAGCCTTTGTGTAGGTCATAGGGCATCAGCACCTTTCTTTGTGTGTAACTGCCTGGCTGGGAGGGGTTACTTTTGTCTCTGAGATGCACAGAAGTTAAGCCGTCCTCACAAACATGTATCTCACCTCTGCCATGGTTTCAACTGAGGTGCCAGTGGAGTTCTCATGAATCAAGCAGGTCCTTCCCAAGTCTAGGGAGACAAAGAAGTGGAACTATGTCTAGTTACCAAGGATGGTTGCTAAGAAACAAACATTCCCATCTGTGATCTAGAGTTGCTATGGGGACCCAAGTAAACAGAAGTACCCCGCTGAGAGAGATGTTCAGCAGCTGAAGAGAAGTTTGCCTATCAAGAGGGCCTGAGCTCTAGTTTTCCAGCTACTGCCACAGTATAAGTGGTTATTTGAAAAAAAGTATTTTGAATACCAAATTTCATACAAATGCATTTCTCAGAGGAGAGAGCGTTTGTCTTGAGTAGTTTTGAGGAGAGCTCAATTCAATGACTACATAGACATATCCATGTAGTTTTTTGACAGTAATCTAAAAGTAGCTTTCCATTGCTTTCTTCCAAAATGTTTTTTCAGTTGCCTGGTATAGCTTACTGTCCTGAGATTTCCTGGTAATCACCCATCCAAGCACTAATCAGGTCCAAATATACTTAGCTTTTAGAGATCAGCTAACACAACTATGGCCACCACCTCATCGAGCAATGTGTGCTAATAAGTAATTTAAGTTAAATATGGTAGTCCTTCAGGTTTGAAGAAGATACACTGTTGTGCAATTTACCTGTGGACATGCAGTCCCAATCTGTGCAGAGTCTAGCACAATGGGGGCACTGGAAGTCCATTATTGTAGCAATTGTGGGTGTTATATGATAGTCAGGCCAAACTGCATAGCAGCATTTGAGAATTTGTTCAGCATCAACTGTAAATCACTGTCTTTGTGCACCAGGAGTGTACAGTCATCAGCAAAGAGGGTTTCCTGGATGACTGTATGGAGGCACTTTGTCTGTGTATTCAAGTGGCAAAGGTTAAAGAGAGAGCCATCCAATTGGTACCTGATGTACACCTCCTTCAGACCCTGGATAGCATGTGACAACATGCAAGTGAAGAACAGATTGAACAGGACTGTGGCTAGCACACAACCCTGTTTTACTCCATTGGAAATGGCAAATGCAGCTGTTGTATCACTGTTAAGTACATCTTGGAAACGTTGGACTTAGCCTAGGTCCTGCAGTCTGCTGATGGTGAATTACATTCTGACAGTCCTTGGTTGCTTACGATGTAATGGGGCTATGTGTAGGTTGAGGACTGATTGGTCCAGACTATGATTTGTCCAGCACTCAACACCTCGCATGGCTCAGGTGATGGTGACGTCTTTAAGGTTGTGCTGATGTACTATGACATAGTCAAGTAGGTGCCAGTGTTTGGACCTAGGATGCATCCAGGTAGTTTTGTTTGCAAGTCTGAATATTGTGTTAGTGATGCACAGATCATTTGCTCAGAAGCAGCAGGCCATTGCTATTTAGTTTTCTCACCCCATGTCTCCTGAGGACTCTATCCCAGTTGTCACTGTCTGTGCCTATCCTAGCACTGAAGTCACCTGGAATAACAAGTTTGTTGCTGGTGGGGGTTGTCTGAATAATCTGGTCCAGGTTCTTGTAGAAACCTTCCTTGTCTTCATCTAGACTCATGAGAGTGGATGCGTAGGCGTTGACAATGATGATATACTGGGACTTGCTGAGTGGAAAACAGAACTTCATAATGCATTCATTTATTCCAATAGGTAGAGTAGAGATGTTCTTCAGCACAGCAGTTTTGATTGTAAAACCTACTCAGTGAGTCTGGTTGTCAGTCTGTGTTTCCCTTTCCAATCCACTTGCTGCTTCCTGTAATGAACCATTGTCTGCCAGCCTGGTCTCACTAAATGCAGCAATGTCAATGCTATAACAGTAAAGTTCAGCTGCTATGAGTGCTGTTCATCTTTCAGGCCTTGACACCTTGTGTCTATCCAGCAAAGTGCAGAAGTTCCAGGCTCTGCAAATGAATTTTCTTTGATCTGTTTTTCTTCATGCTCAACTGCTAAGGAGATGATCTGCCAGCTGCGGTTAGCTAGCCAGATGTTGTGGGGCAGGCAATGTTTAAGGTAATTTTTCTAAAAAGGGTCACATCACCCTGGGCACAGAGAGAACTGCTCCTGTCTGTGCTCCTGCACTCTGAAGATGCCGGTCACAGGTGCTGGTGAAACG